AAAAAAAAAAAAAAGGTAAGATACACACAGATACAGACATGTACACACACATCCACTGAGCAAGTCTCCTAGGATAGATGGGGGGGGGGTGTGTTTAGAACTGAATATTTTCTACATTCGTCGTAAAAAACACTGCTTCAGGTGAGGTTGAAACTATCGGGGATATGGGGACGACGAGGAAGGTAAAGACAAGGTTGGAACTGTCTCCCAAAAAATACGAGTAAATCGAATGACGCCAAAAGGCAACGAGAGAAAGCAGTTTGCTGGACAGAGGGACCTGGACTAATGCCGTGCCAGAGAAGAGAGGAAAAGAACTGGGGAGAAGCAGCACTGGGAGACAAAAGCAGGAAGAGAGAGGGACAGGGTGCAGAGACCCTAAATAGAGAGAGACAGAGAGAAATGGGGAGGAAAGAATGTGGCCTTGCCTTCAACTGTTGAAGAGGGAGGTGAAGCTGGGTGAAAAAGACCAAAAAAATGAAGGAGGAATATTCACCTGACCAAAGCATTGTTTCCAAAAGACTGGGTCGCGGCCCTCAAATGGGTCACAAGAGATTTTTTTTTGGGGGGCTCGTCTCGCATCATGTTTCCCAGGAGTTTACGAATAATGTCTTTTGACTTGGGTCGTGAAGGTTTGTGACTTTTAAAATATGGGTCCCCAGAAACACTGGACTAAAGGACAGGGACAAGAGCATGAAGACAGCATGGTTGAAAAAGAGACTGATAGAAAGAGACAGAGGGAGACAGGGAGAGAGAGGGGGAGAGAGAGACCTCATGCAGCTCATCATCTGCCACATCCATCTGCTTGTGTGCGGTTAATAGTGTTGTGTTGCCTCCGAACCTTAATCCTTGTTAATCCCTCAACACTTTATCTCTCTCCTTACGTAACTCCGGCTTTCACTCTTACTCCTCTCCCTCGCTGCAAAATCAGCAGCCAACTGTAATTAAATCCAGTGCCGCTGCTGGTGATTGTATCTATTTATTGCTATCGATCATTATTTTTGAACCCAAATTACACAAATTTATCATCGATAACGCGGTTTAAGTGCCCTGTTCTATTTTTATACCGAGTGCAGAACTAGGAAATTGAATTTTGTATTTTAAAAAAATCTGGTTCTGATGTTTACGGTATTTCGGTCCTTGTTTTTATCGTGCTTTTAATGGTTTGTAAATAAAGCATGTTTGACAGTGGCAAACTGCAAACGTGTCTTTTAAATGTTTGACAGTGGCAAACTGCAAACGTGTTGAAATCAGGAATATCTTGTTTTTAAGTACGGACCTGGCCCGAATCCACATTAACTTGGTGTGTTAGCTTGACTGACGCAGCTTAATGGACAAACGTGAGGAGTTTCCCTTTAAATCCAAAACAACCAAACCTTTTTTACCCCCATCATCCTGTTCCTGGGTTTGCGACTTATACTCGAGTGCGACTTACATATTGAAATATATAATTTCCCACGTTTGTTATTTTCACACTGACAGCCACTAGAGGGCACTCTAGGCTTGTGTATCAGCATCTGCTACTCCTGTACCACTAAAAAATGTACATGTTCGTTATTTTCACACTGACAGCCGCTAGAGGGCGCTCTAGCTGGCTGGTGTGACTTATAGTCCGGAAAATACAGTAATCTTTCTAAATAGAAATAATGCCTGGTCTTTGCTTTTTTTGTATTTCCTTTTATACCGAAAAAAAAGTGATTGAAACACTCACTTCCTCATTAATTCATCAACCCTGACCATAAACGAAATTACGTCATAAAACTGCCGTCAGTGTTGTTATTGTTATTTTGATGACCTAACGGTTATTGCATTAAATAGAGAACTCTGCTTTTAGCCACAGGACTATGAGCTATAATAAAGAAAATATATTGGAAAGGCAGACAGGGCAATAGGTCTGCACTAGGCAATAAACTGAGTATCACAGAGCAGGGCAACTTTTATGGACGTCTGTGTGTGTGTTTAGACTGACCTGAATAGAGGTCTCCGTTGCTGTAGGCCTTGCCGTGTCCCTCCTCATCGTTGGGCACAGCAGACACCTGCTTGGCGGAGGTGCAGCCCATGGCCTCACACTCTGGAACTTCTCATCGCACTCTCACCTAGACAAACACAGATGTCAATCATTAACGTTGGAACACATAAACACAACACTTATCATTCTGTGTTTCAATTGGTCCGGACGAGAGGGAATAGTAAATAGCAAAATTCATGCAACAGAGATTCAGTAACGATCTACACCAGAGGTCACTAATAGACAGAACCAGACACAGTCCTGTCAGATCTGAGCCTCTGAATCATATGTGTCAAACTCAAGGCCCAAGGGCCGTATGTGGGCCGCCAAGCAATTTTGTTTGGCCCACGGGAGAAAAGCATTTAATAAAGTCCA